TGCAAATTCACAAAATCACTTTGATAATAACTGTGAAATGTATTTGTTCAAACTGAATTTTTTACAACTATGCATACGATTTACAATGAGTGTCTTACAATTGCGATTTCGTTTTTAGAAATAAGCGATTCCATATATTAAGATACACAATCGCGAGTGTTACGGTCATTCATGACCTTGCACTATAAATGATAGAAACGATTTTACTTTCCGTACGTGTTGCAAGCCGTAGTAAAGATTTTCGCGACCGCGAGGATCTCTTTTCTTTAAAATAAGCAATAGTGACTTCTCAATGATTGTTCGCGTTTCGACTCGACAGCGAATTCGTGTACTGTGTTGAGTCACTTCTGTGCGTCTCTTTTATACCGTTGTATTTCTGGATTGTTCTCGATGCTCTTACAGCTTTGATTTGCAGAAGTTCAGTCATGAAAGGAATGATCCAGAAACACAACAGCTGCCAACGATGTTATTAAATTTGTTTCACTCTTTATTTAAAGGGCATATTGTAAAGAGGATAATTGTTGTCACGTGCCAATTGACTCTTTTGAACTCATATGCTATTGTCAGTCGACGACAGCACGAGTTTGCATGAGTGCAGAAACATTACTGTCATTGGCACGCGTAAGTGTGCATTGCGTAATCGATATAGCGCGAGTTATGAGTAAATTGTAATCGGACAATACGAGCGCAATGTCAAGTGTTCAATATTTATGAGCTCTATATTTTATGCCTCGTTTTTATGCGAGTTGAACTTGATAAAACAAAAAATATGTATGTAAAAATATTCTTACAATAAGACAAAATTTATTATTTCTTATGTAGATCACATAGACGAAAATATTACATAAATATTACCTTTGGTACGATATTCACGATACTTTTTTAATCTTCATAGAATTAGGAAGAGCATAATTTAAAATACTTTCATTTAAAATATATAGTATTTGCAATGTAAGTGTATTTTGTTGCAATATAAGTGTGTTTTGCATTTCAGCGAAGTACATAAAAGTATTACGTATTTTGCATTTAAAAAATAGAAAATTTTTTGTATTTTATAATTCAAATAATAAGATGAATTGTCAATCTTAGTATTTGAAACACGAATACAAAATTTTTTATGCGCTCCGCTGAAATACAAAATACAAAATACAAAATATTTTTGTATATTCCGCTGAAATATAAAACAATTGTCTTACACTGAAAAAAAAATTAGCCTAAATTTTAATAAATATTTATTTGAATACTGCCAACTAAACATTGACTTACAATAAATAAATATTTATTTAATTTACTTAAAAGTGATTGTTCAAATCAAATTAATGTTTTTTGTACCCAATAAATATATTTTTATATTTAATAAATATTTAGTTAGTATTATTTAAATATTTATTAAAATTTAAGATTTTTTTTTCTTATTTTTCAAATAAAAGTATTTTAAATGTACTTTGCATCACAAATAGAGCAAATATTAACGGTTTTTTTCTAATCCATCGTAATATAATAACTAACTTTAAAAATTATAGAAACACCAATATTAGAAAAAAAGATTGGTTACGTTACGCAGAGGCGAGTGAAGAATTAAACTTTTAGATTGTAACTGCGCGAAGTTTAGTCTTTAATAAAAAAAATAATTTATTGTAATGCAAGTTATTGTAATAACAAATGGAATTATTTCATTTTAAAATGCGCATAGTCATAAATCAGTATTTACATAACTATACTCGTAATATAAGCAGTAGATACGTAATAATATATCAATGCAATTAATATTATAATCGATACATTCTTGAAAAAAATAAATGAGCAAATGATACAAAAGAAGTAAGCAATAAATTTTTAATTAAAAATTAAAAAATAAAAGTTAATTAACAAAATTTAAAAAATTAGAATTTTATTATAATAACTCACATATATATGTCACTTGATTATAACTATTCAAATTTTATTCATATCTAATTCTATTGATATTATCATATATAAATTAATAACATAATAGCGATAAAATTCCAATAAAATATAAATTTACCTTTTTTTATGTTCGTTTATTAACAATATCAATTAATTCACAACGAATGTTATATGCACCATACAGTATGTTATGTGAACGTTATCCATACAATCTTTTGTTTAAGGTCTGTAAGCCTGTGAAGTGCACGATCACTAACATTATCGACGTGCGACTCACGGACAGATAATCGTTTAACCGTAATCTATAATTAGCTAGTTTTAAAGTTATGTATGTCAAAAATTGCTCAGAACGACTAGTGGTATATATTTCTTTTAGAACATTTTCAGAACTGTGGTGCTTCAATTTACTATATTATTTTAATTTCCGAATATACATAATGGAATAAAATTTAAAAGAAAGTCATCGATATCATCATATATTACTTTGTTCTTAAATTATATTTCTAAAAAGTAAAAATAAAATTTTTTAAATATAAATACAAACTAGAAAGTGTCTTTTACAGGATGATATAACAGTTTGTGTAATATTGTTTAAAATTTTGCAATAATTAACTTTTTTGTAAAGATAAGCAAAAATGAGCATCTGAAAAAATGGGTTTTTATTCATTTATAGGAATTGCATGGAGCATATCTCTACGCCTTTCAATCTAAAAATAATATTAGCTTTTTCTGTGCAACACAAACAACACACAAACACATTGTGACTGTTCAATTCAAAATTTTGAATTGAAATGCAGTTTTTCAATCCAATTGCATCCAATTGAATCTAATTGAATCCAATTGAATCCAAAAAAAGTATTCGCTATTTAAAATTCGGATAGAAAAAAATTTTTTTTAAAACAATCTTTTGACAGCTTTTAAACAGAAATTTTTTTTAATGATCTTTTGACAGCTGATAGCTATTATTATTTTTGTAAACTTCATGAAAATAAAGTTTTAATTAATTAATTCCAAAAAACAAAGTAATCCGAATATAATTATTCTTTGTATACCGGATTACTTTACTAATTATTTATGACTCTACAATTATTGTAAACAATAACGCTCAGCATTACATTTTTATTATCGTATAAATGATTTATTGGTTTTAAGGAGTTCATTGAATATGATCCAAAATTAGAAATTATAGGAATGAAAGATTAGAAACAGTGAATTATTGGTCTTATCAAATAAATATCATTTACACATTTATAACGTAATCTATAATAATAACACATTTAATAAGAATGAGGTGAACTTCCGTGTTCAATTCCCATTGCAAAGATAGAATAATACAAAATGTTTTTCTTCTTGCAACTACCAAGGCATCTACATATTTTGTTTTTTATTGCATATTTTGACAAATATGGCAACATATCCAACAAACTTTCTTTCATAATAAAAGAACAATTTTAAGATATATGTGTAAGGTTGTATGTGTTATAGGAAATAAACTTACGGATTTATAGACATTTTTAATGAATTATAAGTATACATTTTGAATAATTTTAATTTAAGGATAAATTATTAAAAAATAATTTATCGACAATGATTCGATGTTGCTGATGAAATATTACATTTTATGCACATACAAATCCACGGATATGCACTGTGGAGAATGTACGATTATTATTATGGACTATATAAATGGAATATATAATTATGAATGTTGAAGTGATTCGTTCTTTCCTCTACACTTTTTACACGTATTTAACAGAATATTTACAATGAGTATAAAAATCTATCTTTTATACTATATGCTAAATATAATTCTCTCGACCCGTTAATTCTATCTATAACGATTATCCATATATCCTTGAGAATAATCTCTTCAAAATCAAATTAAATTAACTAAATCGTAATTTTTTTTAATTCGAGAGGTATTATTTAGTTAATTTTTTAAATTCAAGTATAGAGTTTCAAGATTCTAAATGTATAGCGATATCAAAATTTTCTTAAATTTACTATAAATAGAAAAAAATTCGGTTTTTTAGATCTCTTAGAATTTAAGTTCTCAGAAATTAAACTTCAAAAAAGATCATAAGAATTCGACAATTTAAGTTTTTTTTTTGTTGCTAAACTAATACATTATACATACTTAAAATAAAATAGATATTTAAAATTTGAAGACAGTAAGACAGAAAATTTTAAAGTTCAGCGACAAACATCAGGCCTGCTTTCTCTCCACATTTACATTCTCCATTTTTCCTCTTCTGCGCTTTTTTTATTATTATATTTCATTCATCTACACTCTAATCATTTATGTTTAACTCGCATATTTCTATGACAAACTTATCTCTAAAAAAAATATATGTATATATATTGCGCTGAAGTCTCTCCCGTACCACCTGTTATCGATCATCAAGAAATCAGATCACAAAAGAGGATCTACAACATAGTAGTTTTGTGTTCAGGGCACCTATCATATAGAACAAATCAGAATGAATTTTGAATCGGAATTATTCCGTTTTTTCCCTAGATTTCTATTGTGTTTTATAAATGCAATAGAGTTATTCAATAATTCCCTAGATTTCTATTGTATTTAAAAAAGGAAATAATTAATTCCGATCGAAATTCATTCTGAATAATTCTATAATACATCCAACAGTTATGAGCTTTTAACACTTCTGTCATTTCTCATTCCCGTTGTATACTGTTGTGCATATTTATTTTAGTGCGATTAATGTGTTCTCCATGTGAAACGTGCAAGCGTAATAATATATACACATATATTATAAGTATCTATATGTATATCAAAAAAATTTTTCCTTAAACGCGTTTATGGGAATTTACTCACGATATGAGGTAAATAATCCAACAGGCTAAGTTTCACACTTTTTAATGAAATATCTAGGTCTGAAATATCTAGACTGATATAAAAATAATGCAATATAATAATACTGTAACAACAGTTGCACCGTGATCCATGCGAATTTTATAAATTTACTGATTGCTTGCTGAACTGGCGATAATCGCGCATCAAAGTAGCAGAGAATTCGTGGTTATTAAAATGAAACAGATAGTACTGTATAGCTTGCAGTAGAACGATTATTAATTTAATGTGCCGCCAATGCATTTTCTGAATACTCTAATATTCTATTGACATTCTCGAGATCGTGAATCTGATAATCTTTATCCTTCTTATTTACTTACATGTTTTTTTTTATCTTCAAATTTGCTTCGGATTTTCTGAATTCTGACCATTCCTAGATCTACTATACATATCTAGCTTAATTAACACAATTTTAAATTTCATTTGCATTATAATATCCTAAACCGTGACGTCCTATAATCTTACAGAATAAAATAAATTTTATAGAAAAAAATTTTATAGAATAAAATAAAATTTCAATGCGAATAGAATGTAGAATACAATAAACATGTAAGAGAGTAGACGATTATGAATTTTAAATTCTCAGACTGCGCGTTCCACTTTTCCTCTTGTTTTTAAAATCACAAAATTTGACCTAATGATTGCAAAAACTATCGGAATCTTTATGACCTAATCATGGTGTTCAGATGCAATTGCAAAAAGTTAACTCCGTGGATACATCAAAACGCTGTAAATCCACGATTCTGATAGCAGTCATGGGCGATGGAAGCTAGAACTTCTGCCATCGCTTTGCCAGTCTCCTGCACCATGCTCTTCAGGTAGCCTGTGTCTTTTTGTAACAGCACGTGAGGATGATCGAATTCCTGTGTACGATATATTCACAGTTTAAGAGATAGTTTATATCGAGATTATTATAAATAAATAAGAAATGAAGCATTTTCTTAATGTAATCAGTATTAGCTATATAGTCAAAGATTTTGTAATTCTGTATCAACTAATAAGTGGCTTACTCAACAAAAACTCTAACGAAAGTACAAAAATGATCGAAGGGTAAATTTATAGGATTCATACAAGAAAGTATTTATATAAATCCACGTATAATTTATGTTGCTTATAGAGATTGTAAATAAATTTCATAATCTGAAACGAGAAATATAAGTATAAAATGTGTCACAAAAATGATCGATAATTCATTACATTGATTTTCCACAAACACAGAAAGAAGGAAAGCTTTTGTGCTGTTTAAATTCATTCAATGAGTCGCTCTAATCATAAAATTCATAAAAAGACAAAATAAAGAAAAATTGACTCACCACCACGTTACCGGCGTCCATCACCAAGATACGATCGCTATCCATAACGGTGTTGAGTCGATGGGCAATCGTTAATACCGTACATTTCTCGAATTTCTTCCTGATAGTTGTTTGAATGAGTTCGTCTGTTCGCGGGTCCACATTCGCGGTCGCTTCGTCCAACACGAGTATCGGATTATTCCTCACAATAGCTCGCGCCAAGCAGACCAATTGCCGTTGGCCGACGCTGAGATTGGAGCCGCCCTCATTGATATGGGCTTCCAAGCCCATCTCCTTCAACTCGACCTCCTCAAGAGCCCGCCATAGTGATTCGTCCATATATGAGTCAAACGGATCGAGATTCCGTCTCAGGCTGCCAGAGAACAAAAACGGTTCTTGAGGGATAATACTGATCTTGGAGCGTAAATCATGCAAACCAATCTGGCTTGTGTCAACTTTATCGATCTCAATCAGACCGTCCATGTCGGACAGGCGGACGAGCGCCTGGATTAAGGATGACTTGCCAGCGCCGGTCCTACCAACGATACCAATTTTCTCCCGCGAAAAGATAACGAAGTTGAGATTCTTAAGTACCGGCAGCTCCAGCGGTGCGTAGCGCAAAAACACGTTCTTGAACTCGATCTTGCCTTCCTGCGGCCATTCGGACTTGGGCTTTTTACCAGGAGCACTTTCGAGAGGAGGCTCGCTGTCCACTTTGCTGGAAAAAGATTGAAACAGAAAATATATTAACTGAGTGTTATTTTACATTTTGATTGCTGCACAGATGTTTACTCAGTCTCATACACCACACTATTATTTTGTATTATCTTTCATAAAATAAGTTTAAATTAATGTATGATCTAGAATTTAATGTTTTTCAAAATATTCGTGGTAATTCGATCCGAGTGTATAGAGATATGTACGCAGCATGGAGTAATAAATATTAAAGATATTAAAAAATGAGTTAAGTACTTGTACTCAAGGATGCGTTCTACCGAAGTCATTTGATTCTCCAATTCTGCGCTCTGACGCATGCCCCACTGGAACATGCCGGTAAGACCGATACTCTGCGTGATCGCCAGTCCTACAAATCCGCCATCCATTGAACCTTGACTGTAGTTGTCTAGCACGAGAAAGCTCAGCGTGACCAACGTGATGTACACCACGCAGAAAACATCCAGCCAAAAACCGAAAGCGCGCGAGGTCGAGATAAAGATATACCATGCGGACGAATGAATATCCTGGTAATTATCAAACTCCTTCGTGAGAATCTCTTCCGCCCCAAACGCGCGAATCGTCGATAACCCTTGAAGTGTCGCGCTCAGATGAGCAAAGACCGGCGAACGTGCTAAGAAAAATTAGAAATTCCATTCAGTTTACTCAAAGAATTAAAATTTATCGTAAATTCCATAAGATTAATGATTTGGTTTCTATCTGTGATGGAATTTATCTTATTCTATCGAAGACACTGTCTATTCTATCAAAAGATGAGTTTGCGATACTCACTGATGCCTTCAAGACGCTTGACGCTACGACTGGTAGCCAGATAGAAGATTCTCATGTAATAAAAGACAATACCAATTAGCACCGTGGGTATCAGCAGCCACACATTCGCGGTGGCTACCACAATGATAATGCCCAGCAGCGCTATACCGATCTGAAGACAGTCAATAAACGCAGCGGGCAACATCTCATCAACCGCTCCCATGTCTTTGGAAAAGCGATTGAGTACACGTCCCGATGTATTAGTATTGAAGAATCGCATAGTGGCGCGACTGATGCTGCGAAACATGCGATCGTGCAAGCGCATTGAAGCCCTCATGCATGTCCAAAAAAATGTCCATGAGCGGATAAGGGTGATGATGATTGTTAGCACAATCAGCGCGCTGTAGATGTAGATGCACTGCATGCGGGTGAGAGGACTATTCGGGTTTTCTACAACACCGTCGTCCGTTTGGTTCATCTATAAAATTATATAATTAATAATTCCTATATAATCAATATGTAGAAGAATCTATAGAGACTTTTTTGGTAATTTTGTTTTGTTTATTCACGTTTTTAAAAATAAAACTTCTTAAAAATTTCGTTTTTTTATTTTAATTTTAAGGAAAAGTTCTTGCTTTTACTTATGAGAATTAAATTACAAATTTGAACTTTTTCCACGGCAATAATAATTGCTCATTCAAATTCTTTATATATAATATTATAATTAAAACTGACACAATTTTTAGAAATAATTTTGAGCAAAATTAGAATTGAAAGTGATGTAATAACTAAATAATAAATATATTATTTATTGTACACATAGTGAAGCACTTACATAATTTTCCTCTATATTAATCCATTGAGCGAGAAAGAAGTCGCTGCCGCTAGCCGCAAATTGTGCTATTATACAAAGCATAGCCACTATGAATATAATGCACCAATTGCCGCCAGCACGAAAGTAATCCGTGTATACTTTACCGGAAACATTGCCTACCGTTCGCATTTCAGCCACCTGAAATTAACAATTAATATGTTATGATAATTTGGCATCAAAATATAAAATTATTCCATATATTATTCTACAATATAAATTACTCTATGTATATATTTTGCATCATCATTGTAAAATTATTCCAATAATAAAAAAAAAGCACGCTCATCGTTTCTATACATGCATAATAAAAAATCGCAAGAAATTCATTACTTTATTATTAATTATCAATAAGAATATTTTTTTAATATACTAAAATTTAATTTATAGAAAAGGATAAAATATTTCTAGTGGAAAAATTCGTTGAAATTATTCCATGTTTTGGAATACTTTTCAACAAAATTTCAATAATACAGAAAAATTTCAGTTTCATTTCAGTGACTTTTAGCTGAAAAATTCATTTTCAGCAAAATTTCAGAGAAATTTCAGCAAAAATTTCTGATATGTTAGCAAAAATTTTTGAGAAATTTCAATTCAATTTCAGCGATTTTTCATACGTTAGCTGAAAAATTCACTTTCAATAAAATTTCAGCAAATTTTCAGTTAATTAATTTCGTTAAAATATTCCAAAACGTGGAATAATTTCAGCGAAACTTTTTCACAGGGATCTGAACTAATATTTATTGTGTATGGCTATAACTTAACACATTTCCTTATAATTATCCTAAATCCTAGTTAAATAAAATACAATAGTAAAACGTCACAAAATAAGTCCGAATTACCTCATGAGGCTCCTGTTTCGATGTATCATTCGTCATAACAGTACTCAACGATGAGATGCTGGTACGAGAATTACTGCGACTAACAGTAGTCGAGGGAGGTCGAGAGGATTTTTCATCCGTTTTTGCTTGATTTTCCAACAACCGACCGAAATCCACACCCATAGATCCCAGCTCGTCATAAGTGCTGATAAACAAAAAATACGAAGCAATAGAAGTGATGACGTTCTAAATATTTCCATAAACTTGCAAATGTTCTAAAAATTTCCAAATATTCTAAAAATTCTAAAACTTATTTTGTATGGCTCGGACATTCGAACATTTCGTCTCAATATTGATATTTAGTTTTTTTCTATTAAAAAAAGCAATAATTCTTGATGTGTTAAAAGAACTTAAAATAAAATTATTTTGCCATATCATTGGGTAGATAAGTTAAAGTTGTCACGTAAAAATTATTGTTTGTATATATTGTGGTATACTAATAAATTCTTAATAAATATCATTTTATTTTCATTCAATATATAAATTATATTCATCTCTACGTTCTTTTTTTTTTTAATTCAAGGATCCAAAGATCCAATCGTGAAATTAATAATAACATTCTACAAAGTAATAAAATAAATACACAAATAAACGAATCTTTGTTGAACATGTTATGAAATTGTAACGAGATTACAATAAGATATTAATTAAAAGGTAGAAAGAAAGTGTAGTAAAATCATTCATACCCTTCAGCCTGGATGGCTCCATCCTTTAGAACGATAATTCTACCGACGTCGCGAAGATATTGCAATTGATGAGTGACGAGAATCCGAGTCTTTCCTCGTAAATATTTGTCAATGCATTCTTCAAACATGTGTTTGCCCACATGAGCGTCCACGGCGCTCAAAGGATCATCCATGAGATATATGTCGGCATCAGCGTAAACTGCTCTCGCCAAATTTATTCTGTAAAATATCAGCGCTTTATCAATATGACTGATATACTTTTTATAACTATGCAATACAAAACTTTTCAAAAAAGTTAAATGGAGTTTGTACAATTTTTTCATAAAATTAATTTTATTTGGACAAAGTTAAACTATTAAATTGCATATATCAATTATATATTGAAATTTAATTAAAACATTACACGCATGTATAAATTAATTCTTCAGTGTTAAAAATCAAAACTCTTCCGTGTATCAAGTGTAAAAAATTTAAACATAAATTTTTAAATAGTTGTTTAGTAGAAATGAAAATTCATTTTTCTGAAGAATTAAATATATACGCAAAAAAATATTTAAATTATAATGGAAAATTAACTATATTAATAAAAAAATTAATTACATAATTAAATTAACAACAGGTAAAACGTTAACAACAAAAAGAGAAAACTAATTAAAATTAATATATTAAAGAAAATTTTATAAAAATTAAAAGAGAATCATCTGAGATTACAGATCTAAATATTATAGAAATTGTATAAATTTGCATTCTTTATATATATAATATATTTAATTAGGATAAATATAAACCGACCTAGCACGTTGGCCACCAGAAAGACTAAT